TGGAGAAACTCTGTTCCAGCACTGAGTTGAAACTCATTTTACAGGCCTTGGAAGGCCAGGTTGTGAGCACAGTTTTGGCTGCAGTACAGCAGTTTAACCACTGTGCCACAAGGTTCCAAGAGCCATCCGGAAACCACTTGGGTCCATCAGCCTCCTAGGGTGGACTATCTTAATCAGTCGCCCACCACTGCCGTGGCTCCAAGTTCTAAATCCCACCAGATGATGATCTGTTCATGATAACAGAACTGCAGGGTACACATTGCCCCCCACCCCACCCCACCCCAGCAAGCAACAGAACTGCAGAGATTTCCTCCACACCCAGATCACCAACATCTACCCCAGTACAGAAAAACACATCTAAAGTGTGCCCTGCAGCATGGGGGGGGGCAGAAACATTGTTTCCTTGTGCCCAGTTCCTTATTTGTACAAAAAAAATCAATAAATAGCCAGGAGCCCTTCTGGTTGTTAGACAAAGTCAAAGGCAAGAGGAAAAGAGGAAAAAAGAAATATGAGATGGATCGGCTGCATAAAAGAAGCCACAGCACTGAGTTTACAAGAGCTGAGCAGTGTATTGAGTATAGAATATTTTTGAGGTCATTCATTCATATGATTGCCATAAGTCAGAGATGACTTGAGGGCATTGAACAATGTCATACCCTCCAGATATTTTGAACTATAATTCCAATTAGCCTCAACCAAACATGACTAATGTTGAGGAATTATGGAAGTCATGGCTCAAAACACGGAGAGACCTGGATTGCCCGTGTCTGGTCTACACGCGGACAGAAGCTCTGCAGTTTTTCAGACAAGGCTTTTTAGCCATCCCTAGCTGAAGATGCCAGGGATTGAACCTGAGATTTTCTGTTTGGGCATAACATGCCACTGAGTTTCTCTCTTCCTATATTACCCTGAATTCCAGGGCCTGAAACAATCTGCCTCATTATATGACCCCACCCCAGCATGAAGACTGATGATAACTGGTTACACAGATAATATTTCTGCAGCATACAAGGCAATATGGCAAGAATTTCTTAGTGATATTAGACATCTGCTAAATTGCTAATTTCAGGCAGGCAGATCTGACAGGGAGCTGATGCAGACTTGCTCAGCACCTGCCTGGTGGGGCAAGATAACCAGGAGACCTCCTGCATTTCACATACTTCACAGATAATAAGGTGCTTGGCAAGCCGCCGAGGTGAAACAGCCTTCACTGTGCTAGTGGTATGGGGGGGAAATTTCAGCCTGCGAAGTGGGGAGAAAAGCTCCTGGTGAGAAGTCAGTCCAGGGCAAACTGGTCTCTCTGTTCCCGTACCCTTGGAGTCAGCCGTTCAATACAGTACAAAGCAGCAGCAAAGGCTGTGTCAGGCCTTAAGAAGGCCAACAATTTCATGCATGATAATTTATATCTGCTTTGAAGCCATAAGGATGCTCACCCTGTAGCTATTATTTGTGCTAGTCTCTATCATAAGATTATGAAATTCTGTTGTTCATTTGTCCACAGGAATTTATAGCTGGTCTATGGTAAGCCACAGATCACACATTAAGATCAATCAGTATGTTGTTGTTAGGTGCAGGCAAGATTCTTTCAATTTATGGAGATCTTAGTAGGGCTTTCAAGGCACATGAGATGTTCACTGAGTGGTTTACTATTGCCAATTATTAGTGAGTTTACATGGCCAAGCAATGATTTGAACCTGGGTATCTTAAGTCCCAATCCAACACCGTATCTAATTCATTACACTTGTCTCTCATCAGTACGCAGCCAAGGTTAAAACAATGTACAGTACTCATTATCACTGTGCAGGTACAGCTTCTCTCAGGAAACCAACATGATTCATCTCTGAATCCTATGACAGATTGATTCTCTTGGTAGAACCAGGAGTGATAGGAGTTTTTCTACTAGATATACCCCAGTGTAGTTTAATTTTACCTGTAATGTATGATAAAACTTTAAATAGCATCTCTGCTGTCACAAAGGAACATATGTAACATTTTAAAATCAAAAGAATACAGATTTAGAGAAGGAGAGGAATCTCCACTACTTAAAATTAATTATGGGATAAGCCTGGAAGGCTAGTTACTGAAATATTTGAAGGTGAAACTCAACTTCTTCGCCCTCATCGTAGAGATTCATGGTAAACAGGCTTTTGTACCACAACAAGTCTTCTATTCCTTGCAAGCTAAATAAAATTAAAAACAGCAAAACATGCATTTTCATATAGTTAAACAAACACTTGCCAAATTTGTATTAAAAAGGCACATTTTCCAAGCTTGAAAAGTACCAGGAGCAAGAAAAGTATCCACACAACTGTTGTTGCCAGTTCCTGCAAATTTTATCCCTAGCCTTGTCAGACTGTAGATTCCTTTAAAGTGTAAAATCAAACAGAACCAAATAAGCATGTAATAAAACTGTGAGAAAAAATCTCTTTCATGTTAGAAAGCCCATTTTCAACCCCTGTAGTGGGTAGAAAAGCTTGGCAAATGTCAGTGTGACAGTAAAAAGATCTAAAGCCTTTGATCCAAAAATAAATAAAGGAATATCATCAAGCAAGTTTTTTTTTTATCTTAAGTCAAAATTCATGACGTTAAAGTAGGGCTGGGAGAGGGTCTGTTGACTCAAGTTTTTGAAGCTTTGCTATGGCATCTTTTTCCATTCCTATTTTTATAGGACTTGTGAGGAGTGGAGGCAAAAACTGGTCCTCAATTTTCCTTTGGGAATGAGGAAGAAGAAAATAGAAAGAGGTGGTTTCAACAAGTCTGAAACCTTAAGTGAAAACTGTATTATGGGTTTTCACTTGGAAAAGGTACAGTACTTTGTAGACTGCAGATCACTCAATTGCCTAGCCAGCCTGCCCAATGGTAAACTGGATGGGAGGTTCTGGGAACTGTAATTCACACTTTCTATTATTGTGGACTAGAGTCAGCTTCACTACATGTTAGCTTTAAATACAAGTTAGTCCAAAATAGTCCATCACCTCTTCTTCCTGCTCTTTCAGATCAGCTGTGGAACCCCTAGTACACCTGCCATTGCATCCAGAGACTTGATTGGTGGCAGCCCCTGCCCCAAGAGTTTGAATGAGAAAGCAGAAGAAAATGGAGAGTATTTTGAATGTATTAGATGTGAGAAGAAGCTGATATTCCGAGATCTGTGTGGCTGCTGCTTAGAAAAAATGCAGGATGGTTTAGTAAGAGGCTGAAGATGGAGATTTTGGATGAAAAACAATGTGTTTCCATCTCTGGAAAAGTATTCCAAAGTCACAATGGCATCAGTTGCAATGACTCGCTGAAAATCACTTTCCTATTATATCAGACCTCCCAGAGGCCAACCATGGCCAACCTAAGACATTTTGTTGCCTGAATCAAAGGACAAGATGGCATCACTTCTCACTCTACACATATATAAGCTGACTATGCAAGCTTACTGTTTCTATAATTGTCGAGACTGCAAGTGCTGCATCAGTAATAGTATTGAAATTGTGAAATAATTGGCCTGTTTTATGTGAAATGCTGCAATATTTCAATGTGACCAACAGGTGGCATTTGCTGATGTATCAAATTGCTGGACTGGTAACTTACTCCTGTAATTTACACAGGCAGCATCTCATTTACCTCACTAAACGACTAAACAACAATACCTTGATTATATTTCTGTAAGAGCCTCGTGGCGCAGTGGTTAAACCGCTGTACTGCAGCTAAAACTGTACTCACGACCTGGGGTTTAAATCCCAGGTAGCTGGCTCAAGGTTGACTCAGCCTTCTATCCTTCCGAGGTCGGTAAAATGAGTAGCCTGCATAATTAAATTGTAAACCGCCCAGAGAGTGCTTGAAGCATTATGGGGCGGTATATAAGCAGCACGCTTTGCTTTGCTTTGCTTAATACTTTAGTTAAGTTCTTGTACTAATTTACTTCAGTTCTTATTCTTTCATTTTGAAACACCATATTACATTTGTTAAAGGACTTATACATTTCATTAAGTTTTCATAATTATATTTTCAAAACATCATATTAAGTTTATCTAGTTACAATTTTGGGATATTCAATAGATGGAAAACAATAACACACATATCTATGTTTGCTTGCATATGCTTGTTCAATAAAAAGCAGAAAAAGTAGACTTAAATTTATTTATCTTGCATAGGACAAAGAACTTAAAGGATATTCAGAGGAAGAGAGTAAGTTGTACAAAGAGTAAAATATTTGTCTATGAACCTGCCACCTTACTGATGAATGTTTAATGGAAGTAACTGTTTAAGTCCTCTAAGAGAAACACATATATACACCTCAAGCTGTGAAGGAGGTGCTACTGTTATAAAAGCTGAAGAAACTTCACAAAGAAGAACTGGAACAGTATGAAACATTGCACACTCAAAACTTTAAAGCAAGAAACTTAACATTTAAACAATGCAGTATTCTGTGTGACTGAAATAGAATGTTTTCTGTCATTCACTTATGAAGTGTTTTACTCTGGAAAAGACAAAAATTAGAAGAAATTGAATAGTTCTAACAGCAAGGAAGAAGATAACACAAATAGGTATGGGCCATAATGCAAAATTCAACAAAAATATTTATCAACACAATCACCAAGTCTATGCTCCAACTATAGATGCTGATGAAGAAACCAAAACCTTTTACACAAGTATCCAGGAGGAAACTGATCACAGACTAAAACAGGCTGATAGGTTAATAATAGAATGGGTAAATAAAGCAAAGCAAAGTGTACTGTTTATATCCCACCCCACAGTGCTTAAAGCTCTCTTTTGACAGTTTACACTTCAGTCATGCAAGCTACACATTTCCAACCCCTCATCAGCAAACTGGGCACTCAGTTTACCAACCTCAGAAGGATGGAACGTTGAGTCAACCTGGAGCCAGCTACCTGAGTTTAGGATTGAACTCAGGTCACAAGCAGAGTCTTCAGTGCAGTACTGCAATTTAACCACTGTGCCATTAACCCAATATTTTGGGGAATTTGGCTTAAGTGTCAGAAATGAAACAGGAGTGACTCACGGAATTCTATGAAGTCAATCATTTATTTATTGTAACTATATGCTTCAGGCAACTGAACACATGAATATATGAATGTCAATAGATGGCCAAAGAGAAATGAAATAAACTACTTATTCAGAAGTAGAAGATGAAAGCTATATACTGAAGAATCATATAAATTATATGCAAGAATTACATATTACTTTGAAGAAAAATCCTGTGATGAAGAACTTGCAATTTTAGAAAGTAAAGTGTAGGCTGATCTCAAAGCAGAGGACTGGAAGAAATAAATCACTGGGGAAAGATGGGGTACCAGCACAACTACGTATTTGAAGCTACAGAGATGGAATCTATCAACACACAAAGAAGAATATGTGAACAAATATGGAAAACAAGGCAATGGCCCACATTCCCATAAACTGAATATGTTCAACATACATTTCAATCCCCAAAAAACACAAACAGTACAACAAAAATAAGACTAAACATTCATTTCCCACAAAAGCAAAGGGATACTTAAGATTTTGCAACAAAAATGTTTATCATAAATGGAACAATAAATGCCTGCTGTTCAAGCTGGCTTGAAAAATGAAAGAGGTACTAGAGGTCATGCTGAAAATATATGTTCACTGTTGCAGTGTACCAGACACTTTCAGAAAGTGACAGGCAAGCACATATTTTATTTCTGTATCTGTTCAATACAGATTATATAGAATGCTGGATTAAATTCAGAAGGGCAAGTGAAAAATGCCAGAACAACCACTAATAATTTAAAATATGCAGATGATACTATATTACTGGCAGAAAGCGGTGCTCACTTGAAATAACTACTAAAGAAGACCAAACGCATGACTACAGAAGAATACAACAACTATGATGTTGACAATGGAACAACAGAAATAGCTACTGCTCTGAACATAAACCAAGTGAAATAAATTTCAATTGTATTTCCAACTCTGGCTCTAAGGAAATTGTATGCATAGGACCAGATAAGTAACTGGGGAAAAATATGTCCACTTGATTCAGGTGGTTTTTTTCCTGGTGCCAAAAGGTGTTAGGTATTAGCCATGCAAATTATGTATGGGCCTCAAAGATTATAACATCCGTTTCCTCCACTACCTTACGCGTACTACTGGCAAGCCTCCTAGGCTCTTGTGCGAACGACAAGACCATCCAAAGGTTAGATGGGCACCAGCGTCAAGTGACCCGTCCGTCATGCCCTTGTTCTGCTCGTGTCTCCGAATAGGTTAGCTGCAGTCATTGTGCAATCGGAAGGAATCACACGTTTTTTGGAAGCCCAGCTTTCTTGATTGTCGCTTGTTTCGACCTAAACAACAAAGCAGGTGTCAGTTCCTTCCTGCAGCCGGTAAGCAAGTTTACAACCCCTGGCCCTGTTAATACGCCAATACGCGGCTCCGGAGCGAGCTCGGCCTCCCCCCCGCCCCGCCGCCGCCGCCGCCGCCGCCCAGGTGGCTCTCCTTTTGATCTCCTGCCGTCGGCGACACCTCGGAGCGTTCCGAGCCCCGGTTACCTAGGCGACGTTGTCAGCAACCTTCCATCCTTGGGGCGCGGACGTTCTGAGCCCGCCCCCGCCAACCGGCTTACGCCAATGGCACGCGAAGCCCGAAACCTGCTGGGGCGGTGACGTCATGGCCGGTGAGTTCGTTCGTTCGTCCGCCCTCCCGCCCGGCCTCCTCCCTGGGCTCGGTGTGGAGCAGCAGCAGCAGCAGCA